TGTTGGGTCAGCCCTTGCAAGATCATTCTTCAAAGCAAGGTAACTTTGAAGCGCTCATTTTGTTTCCTCTTGTTTGAATCGCATGCCTTCGATAAAAGACCGTAAGTTCTAAAGACCTTCAGAAAAGCGCAACGTTCACCTAAAAAAAGACGTTTAGAACGAAGGACTAGACGTTAAGCTCACAACCATACCAGTGTGGTTGTAAACGGAGCTGCTAAAGTGTGTATGACTGCTCGGTATCATATTGTAACATAATTTGCAAAAGTAAGTTCTATATCATTTTTGGTGCTAGACTGAAATGAGACTTTTGTAAGAATTTCCTTGGACATACAGGGTGTCTCAAAAAATGTGAACACTGTTTAATCGTTAATAACTCCGTTGCTTTCACGTCTTTCGCTTGAGGCACCATTCTGTAGAGCGAAGTTCAACTTAGATTTATAGTATGGATTGAATCATCAATTGATCTTCGTTATTGTAGGGTTATGGTAAGAACTTCTAGCATGTGGATCCATTGCGAAATATGCCATTTGACAGAATTTTCTTCAAAAAATCTGAAAAATCGTGTACTAGGGTTTTCGCGCATGCTGATGAGTGTTTTCAGCTTTTTTGACGGTGTAATTACATTTCTGACAAATGCTGGGAATGAGTTATTACTGTTAACCTGGGATAGCTTTGGAAAAAAGCATCACAGTGGAATGGAAATTTCAGATTCGAAATCAGTGGCTTCCATTACCACAGAATAAGTGTTTTTGGTTTGTTTGGTTTTGTTCAGGCAGAGTATGGTCTCCAATGGCCTAAAATTCTTGCCGAAGTTCCTACCGTAATCCCACAATAACGAAGATCAATCGATGATTCGCTCCATACTATAAATCTAAGTTGAACCTCGCTCTACAGAATGGTGCCATAAGCGCGACGAAAGACATGAGAACAACGGAATTATTAACGATAAACAGTGTTCACATTCTTTTGAGACACCCTGTACATGATTCTGACATTATCTATTAGTTGACAAGCTGAGATTTAAAAACCCAACAGCTGTTGGAATAAAAAAAACGACTACTCTCAAATCTTGCGCAAATGGCTGCAAAGAAAACACGGTTTTATCTTGTTAAATTTTGACTTCAGCGCTACCACTGCGCCTAATTGTGTCATGACAAACATGAAGAATAACAGAAAAATGTCGAATTCCAAAATTCTGCTGAGAAAATTGACTAAATATCTTCGACCGGAGCCGTGCCCTTTGTCTCTACTGTTTCTCGTGTGTTCGTTCGCGCCTCCGCTTTTTACGCGCTGCCTCGCTACCTTTCTAGCCTTCTCCAAGGCATTGATTCATTTGACTGAGCTAGCCTTTTCCCCGTTGTTATAAGTCCATTCTTTGCAAGCCGTATTTTACTCTTAAGGCTTATCAAACGTTGACAACGTCGCTGAGCTCAAGCCTAATTTTTCTACAAGATAATTTGCAAAAACCCTGTTTTCAGTGCTTCCGTTTCGTCTTTTCTTTCGACGCGGCCTTTTTGTTCGATTAGATCTTGTTTGTCTTACATTTGACGTAGATGTGCTCCGTCGACTTTGCAACATTTCCTCAAATGTTGCGAAAAGCACAATTTACCTTATAGCAGTTACTTACAATGCGGATGCAATCATTTTTTTTTTCAAGCCGGCGAGCTTTTCTCAAGATGGTGAGCATAACATCGCAGATAAGTTCGCCGATTAAAATTTACAAGACGGGTTTAAAATCTTAAGCACGCTGCGAGAATTAGATGGCTACGACGTCACTTCTTATTTCCTCGGGTTTGTATACAGCGGTTCTAAGGCGAAAACTGCGATCCACAACCGCCAAGAGCGAGGTTGTAAAATCATCGCGGCACCATTTACCTAATCTTTCTTACTTTTGTTGTAATTTCTTCCTTTGATTTTTTATTTACAGATTTTGCGTTTCAAACGCTGCCCAGCCGCTATAAGGTTTCTTCATCATATCGGCGCGCTCGATACAGTTTCTTAACTCTATTATCATTTGATTCATTTAGTGACTTTCTTGACATGCGCTCATGATAAGGCTGACTATAAGTTTACGTATCTTCTATGGTTTTTGGAAGATATACATGGCTAAAACAGAGCATTTGAATCAACGCATTTTTTCTTCGCCTGTCTGCTATGCGCACCGTAAATTTCGGTCATTCGCTTAAATACGCTTATCACATTTTACACACTCATTATTTACCAGTGCGTCACCTCTGCTTCGCAGAGGCTCGCACTGGCTCTACTATCTATGTGCCTTAGGGTGCCTTCATACCGCGCCGGCAGCCGCCGCTAGCCGCCTTTAGCCGCTTTTGAGCACTATTCCAGTTTTCCAGGGCCTTCGAAAAAAAGTTAAAAGATTATGCTATTTGTAATAAACATGTCGAGTAACCCCACTACACCAAGTTTGAGCAAGATTTGTGCATTCGATGTTGGGATCCAGATAATGAAATAGTGCTCAAAGGCGGCTAGCGGCGGTTGCCGGCGTTATGAAGGCAGCCTTACTCATTCTCGTAAAATCGTGGCACTGGAACTCACCGCGCTATGCCGACTACCACGAATAAAATGTAAACAACCACTCATTTAGAGAGTTTTTTCACGTAAGATCGGTGATTTCGCGTGGATGAAACTTTTCGCAGGAAGACAAACGCAAATTTGAATAGGTTTTTGGATTTGTCATGGCTTCGTAGTCGCGATAGAGGTAATAGTACCGTGAGCTACATCTCTGTGCAAAAACCTTCTCAAGCGCTTAGATAGAACCTTGGCAAATTGACCATTTACACAACCAATTCTTTTTGGCGCCGTTTTCGTTATGTAGTAAACTTTCGATCAATTTTCGGGCTAAACTCCATCGCTTGCACATTTGCTTACCAAACTCATCCACGACTCTGCAAAAAGTGGTGATACGGACCGAATTTTGCGGTACAGAAGCCAGGTGGACCCGTTTGGCGCGCAATTTCTGAGAGATCCACTCAACGAATCTACTCGTGCTTTTGCATGTTGGACTTTCATGAAGGTAGCATGCGCTACACAAAATTTGGGCTTAGAACGCTGGCTGGAACACGCTTCACGAATTTCGTAACAGACACACTCTCACACACACACACACACACACACACACACACACACACACACACACACACACACACACACACACACACACACACACACACACACACACACACACACACACACACACACACACACACACACACACACACACACACACACACACACACACACACACACACACACACACACACACACACACACACACACACACACACACACACACACACACACACACACACACACAAACACACACACACACACACACACACACACAAAGTCACGTAAACATCCTTAGCCCGTTATTATAAGTTATGATTACCATCCTTAGACGACCGGATCTCCCGTATTAATTCTACACCAATTGCTTCTTTCTTCCACATGTCCGTCTCCCTCGCTTGTCGTCACAAAATAGGTGGAAAGGGGATTGACGAATATTGAATGAATACGTATTTTTCAGTCCATTTGATTCATATTGTTACTAGTGCTGACTATGTGCATCCTTAGCCGTCGAATGTTTGACAATGCCTCAACTTCCTTTGCAGTAGCTTTTCCAAATTGGTGTATTTGAACAATAAGTACAGATTGTTGGGAGAATATGTGAAGAAGAATTGTGAATAAAAAAGAAATGAAAAAGAAGGTCCCCTGAGACCGTTCTTACCATTCAGCGCAGTTTCAGTCAATCATCAAAAATAACTATAAATTCCTTGAAGCACTTCGCTTCAACGCATATTTTTCAAGGCAGCAAGAACATCTAGATCATTCAGATTTTTTTAAGTCCACTGTATCTGTACGGCTAGGTTTCTGATGTGTTAGATAAAAAAAAGCAACGGATTGTGCGTGACAACTCAAAATTTGACATATGTCCTGTAAAACCTCATTGTAAATTTAGTACCTAGTATCTCTTCGCACTTATCTAAACGCCTCTGTTCGTAGAACTCCTTTACACCAAAATGTGGCACACCAAGTACGCTGCCAAGCTCCTCATTCTTAGCTTTGAAACATGACTTATCAAAGACTGAGTCTCCGACAATTTTGCATGTTTCATTCATAAACATTTTTTTCATACGTTTTTCCTGCAGCGCTGCTGAAGTTAGCATAGGCTAGTGCATCAACTAACGCAAATTCTGACACCATTATTGCTTTAGAATATTTCCTGCCGATTCCGTATGAACAGAAATTACATCAAACGATTTTGCATGCATGTTAAACATTGTTTTTATCATTCATTCTACGACTAAGAGACGCGAGTCCGCATTGCACACATTGTCTAAACAAGCTTAATCGTATACTTAGCAGCTTTACACTTGTCATTTACCTCGCCCATGTTTATTCACTCTTTGGAAACAGGGAAGAACACCAAACATGTCAAGACAATGTCTGCAATGCGGTCACGCGTCTTGTATTCATAGAATAGATTACACGTAAACGACCACCAGTTCGAATTAAAGTGCCATCAATAAATGTTTTGCAGAATTCTGCGTAATATCAACTCAACGGTTTAATCTTATAAAATTACGCGGCATGAAGGTCATACAGAAGTCTGGAAGAAATATGCAGTGCACTTACATACATTCCTTTTTATTGTAAAAACATGATGCTGATTACAAATTGAGCACTGCTAATTGTAGCACAGTGTGAGATCTTGACGAAACAAAACAACATAAACAGTTTTACAGCTGCAGATTACTGCAGCAATCAGAAACGAAGCCGTTGAAACTGATTCAAGAAACAATCTTTGTATGGTGGCGGGTGCTTCAGTGAAAAAAAGTAAAGCGGCAATGAAGAGAGAGTACACGCTTAACTATAAGTGAGATCATACTCAAATGAACTATTACATACAATGAGTTGTGAATATCCAGAACTAGTCCATATAAAATAGAGTCTAGAGCTTCGCAGAGCTTGTTTTCGGTTCAAACAGTTCCAGAGAAGCTGCTGTGCTCACGCCAGGCTCGCCCTGGAGTTTTGAGAAGTTGTTCGAACTCATACTGAAATGTTTGACTTCTTCTCAAGGAAATTTGTGATTTGACCACAGTTACCTGCGCATCTATGTTGACTGCAACTGGAGGTAGCGAAAGCTGTGGATAAAGGTGATCAATGCACTTGTGAGGAACGGCAGGAAGACTAAGGGAATGCTTCTTGTTGTCGAAGTACTTATTGACTGCTGCGGACTTTTGAGTCACTTGCTTGAGCGTATCCGTTGATATGCTAAGAATATTGAATATTATCTCAAAGCTAATCTAGCTGAAGTATTGAGTCAGCAATACCTTGAAGTAGTGGAGTCGATCTCAAAATACATTGTATTTCTCCGAGGTGACTTCACCAAACTGAATGGGATTTCTTTCCGTGGATGACATCTAAAAGGTGTGGATGTGGATGTTCCTGAGAATCTATTCATTTTATTTAGAACTGTCTCTACCGTATCGGAACCAGAGTACACCAGCCCATAAAGAATGCAGCTAGAGCTATGGTATAGCCGAGAAGAATTCCTATCGTTACGTAGAACCACATGCGACAGTGCACATTACACTAAAGTAAAAGAATTAGTGGTGAGATTAAGTTCTAGGTAGTGATAGCATATTGCTGTGACGAAAGATGATGAAAAGCGTGCAAGCAGAAGGGGGATGATACAATTATTGAACATGGCGGATTTGTCAAGGAAACACGCAATGTATTGCCATGTGCTCACGCCGCTACCTTAACAAAAGGAAAAGGACAATAGCTGTGATAGCACCTTAAATGTTTAAGTTATCTCGAAGGAAAGAGTTGAGTGATAAAGACTGCAATAACTTCAAAGACAAATACTTCCACTCCTATGGCCATTATCGCTACAAAATTTCCTGGTGCATGAACAATTGTTTCTGTATGATTTTGTCAATGGTCAGGTTTCTGCTCCTCTTCCTCATCTAGGAAGCTTTTCCATGAAAGATTTTGGCAGATTGTGTGATAATTGCAAGGGAGGCTAAAAGTGAAAGTGGCTACAAGTTGACGCAAATGACCAATATGCAGCAAAGGGAAAAGGCTAAACAAATAAGCGAATTAGGACCGGATAGTAACAGCTTAGAGTACCAGGTTCACCTAATTTGGATAACATTCCATCACAATGTTGTAAGCAATTGCTAATATTTCGAAAAAGGCGTTGAAGAGGTGAGACACCTGAAGGAAAGCCACAGTTTGGCGGCTTTATAATATTCTCCAAAAGCGAATGAGACTAATTTTGAAGGACTAACATGTGGTATCAATCGTGGTTTGATAAGCAATTAGCAGAGTGGAATGGGTCTGATGATGTGCTAGAGGTGGCATTAATGTCCAAATCAATAGCATTTCAAGAGCTGTAAGACCTAACATAGAAGATAAGTCATTGTCATCAAAATTTTTGCAAGATGCCAATATGCAAAGCCTGCAGAGTGGCTAGAAATGGTTGCAGGAATTGGCGGGGGAGGTAGAGGTATGAATGCTGAATCGCGTGTGCAAGTAAAATCATGAATTATTGTGCCATGAGCATATCATGTAGATGCCATATAGAAGTGAAAAAAACCAACACAACTGAGCTATGACATGCAACTGAAGTAGGTATCAAATCATGAGTTCGAAAGAAACCAAAGAACGCAGAACTCTTCTTCTCACATCAAAGCAGCAATTTGCTTTAAAAAGCTCAATCATAGGTGTTCGAAAATTACCGCAAGTTGAGTGCGTATCACCCACTCCCTTCAATTGTAAGGTTATGAAAGGAACGTAAAGTATCCGTCACCAGAAAACTGCCTATTGCCGGATACGGCATGCAACGCTGACTACACAACTCGCCTTTCTCGTTAGCCAAAGCTTACGTAGGCAATGTTTACATTTTTTGCAGAAATTGTGAACAATAAGTATGTACTGACATAATGAGTAGATTATAATCATTTGATCGTGCATAATTAAGGCGTGTAACAGACAACCGAAAAACTTGAAATGCTATGCAACTCTTCAAATAATTTGAACTCTTTTGCTAGTAATAGCATGCTTAGTTACTGAGAAACGAAAAGGTATATGAAACGCATGTTATTATTATTCAGTAACAACGTTTTGGGCTGTACAGCACATCTATTGCGTTCATAATCAACTTGACGAATGATAGAGCTACAACTGTCAAAACAACAGTCTCTTCTAGATCCTCACTGCCAAACAAAACGTTTTCCAGGTTAGTGAGAGTGATCTTTGAGAAATAGTTTGATTGGTCAATAACAGTAAGCAAATTCGCTCGTAAATCGCATCTCATGGCTACGACACGGCTTCTGTTTCGCTCTTTTCCTAAAAGAGCAGGAAATATTGAAAAAAGCGGGATTTGGTGACCAGTCGGTTCAAGTGCTTTTAGCGAAACGTTAGCCATTTGGGCATATAAAAGAATTCATCAAATTGATAAGTTTTAATAATTCTACTTTGCGGTAGATTTCAACGTAAAAGCGATTAGTTCAGCTAAACTGTTTTGATATCGTGTTGCACTTCATGATCTTCTCCTCACAACTCCTCTCAACTTAGAAGAGCTAATGTGACTGTCAAAAACACTGATTGAGCGTTGTTTATAGTACGCACTCAATGATAGCTAACGCATTAGTAAAAAAGGGTCAAAAATGACGTCTAAAAGAAAAAGCTTTTGTTTCCATGATGATATTGGTATGTACATAAGGTGCACATCTACATGCTATCTTGACGAGAACATGCATCCATAGGAACCTCCGTCATCCTAGCTCGGCTATGGAGGGACCAAGTTGATCTTATGAAATCTCAGACCAGTATAAAACGAGCCGTTAATCTAATGATCCTTTCGTAGACATGATGAACGTGCGCGTTCTCGAAAACAAAACTGTTTGAGCAAGTTTTATTAGATGGATGACCTGTTGCAGTTCAAGCAGCGAAGCATGGTCGAGATTAGAGGTCAGAAGTCACGCCAAGCACGTCGTGCGCAAATTTTGTCAACAAAATCCAACTAACAAAATTTAACACGTAACTCTCGCTGCTAAACAAATGTGGATGAAGGCAGATACATGGCTCGACGCCAACTTAACTGTGGCGGAGTATCCGCGGTACCTGGCTATTGTTCTGCTTTGAAGTCCCGTTGGGGGCATCTATTCGCAAAAATTTCTATCAATAGTGACTTCTGGCCAATTTCCCGTGATTCGAGTCTGACAAAGACATTTTTGCTACATCGCCGGGCATTTGATGCTAGCGGTCGCTATCAAAAAATCGATGGTGATTCTCTCCAGAGTTAATGCTTAACGAATGGACAAGGAAGCAACATAATAACTCAATATAATATAAGCGCTATTTAACATGAGACTTCTTCAGCGAAAGCGTGGGGTGAGCGGTGACCTAGAGGTAACACAACGAAATGAATTCACAATAATATCAAGTTTCAGCCGCACAAGTTTTTGCCAATAAATGTGATGAAAAACACAAAAAATGGCAAAAAGAACGGGAAACTAGATAGGAACGTTTACTCAATGTTTTAATGGCAAGTTTCTATGAGGAAACTTGAATGAAAATAAAAGGCTGGGACATTCAACTAGAACTTTACATGTTAGGTTGAATTGCTATTTCTAATATGGTAGAAGCAAAGTTTACATTAAGATGATTGGAAATTTTATTGTTTGAGAAAGAAATTTTGAATTTAGAAGCTGGGTATGTGTTTATGACAAGGTTCAAGGCCCCTAAAAGCATCGTCACTTCAAGTATTTCGAATTTGAAGCGCATAGCCGCTGTGAAAGAGTAGGGCTAAGGTTTAAAAATTTAACTCATTTGTGGAGTCAAACCCAGCCCCTACCTTCCCGAGTTTGGACAACTCAGTTTGGATTTTCATGGAAAAGATCATGCATATTCTCGAAAAATGTCTAGCTCCTTTACTGTTACTCCTGATGGAATACCCTTATTTTCTATCAAGAGAGTTTTAACTGAACTTGGTTTCGCTCTAGAATACCTTTTCAATCTTATATATTAGGTTGAACCGAAAGTTCTGTCGCACCATTTTTAAAAATTCATAACTTCTTGCGGTCACGACGATTCTGCGCGACTCAAATTTTGTCTGAAAGCGTAAAGCTTGTAGTTTCCAAAAGCTCCCTGAGAAGTTTCCGACATGCTCAGGTGACAGAGATAAAAATGAAAGAACGAGACCATCCGAAATTCGGAATTTTTAAGCAAGAATTCTAGAAATTCAGAAACAGTGCGATAAAATCCAGAAAAGTCATTATCCTAACTTTTCTTACATTTGATTACTACCTGAGTCAAGTTTGTGCTGATCGATGTCTTCTTCCAGAAGTTATGATTTTTTGAAAAATAATGCCGAAAAATCAATTTCCTAAGAATTCTTAAGAAATGGATTTTTTGGCTTTTTTTTCAAAAATCCATAAGTTCTGAAAGAAGACCTCGATCAGCACAAACTTGACTCAGTTAGTAATCAAATGTAAGTAAAAATCGGATAATGGCTTTTCTGGTTTTTATCGCACTGTTTCTGAATTTCTACAATTCTTGCTTAAAAATTCCAAATTTCGGATGATCTCGTTCTTTCATTTTTATCTCTGCCACCTGAGCATGTCGGAAACTCCTCAGGGAGCTTTTGGAAACTACAAGCTTTACGCTTTCAGACAAAATTTGAATTGCGCAAAATCGTCGCGACCGAAAGAAGTTATGATTTTTTGAAAATGGTGCGACAGAACTTTTGGTTCAACCTAATATAAAGTGAATGTCTGTTTGTCTGTCTGTCTGTATGTCTGTCTGTCTGTCTGTCTGTCTGGTCTGTACGTATGTTCCGAATAAAAAATTCCATTTCTGAACCGATCGGGACCAAACTTGGCACACATACACTTCGGGCCCCGGCGGGTGTCATAGGCTACTTTTTGTTATCGATCGATGTCGATGTTATGGATTTTTTGCAAAATTTGAGCTACGAGTGGACTGAAAAAAGTGGAAAGAGAAAAAAAGTGGACTGTGACACCCGCCGAGGCCCGAAGTGTATGTGTGCCAAGTTTGGTCCGGATCGGTTAAGAAATGGAATTTTCTATTCGGAACATACGGCGGAGCCGGGTAAGCCAGCTAGTCCATTATATATGAGAGGTGAAGTCCCAGACAGGTGGAAGCACTCTCTCGTTACACCCATCCTCAAAAAACCACCCTGTAGTGACTGCAGAAACTATCGACCCATTAGCATAACCTCCATATTCGCACGCACATTTGAGGAAATCTTTATAATACACCTCTTTACCACTTATTTTTCTTCTTTTCACTCCCGCTCCCGTTAGACATGTAACCTTGCGTCAGCGTTCATCTCAGGCCCAGTTACCCTTCTCTAACAGGGGAAGGATACTTGGATGTCGTAGCCATTCATAATGATTTGTATACCAAAAAATGCGCTTTTGAATGCTGGTTCGTAGACTGTCTTTCATATCTCCGAAACGATAATCTGAATGGAGTCATGATTTTTTTCATTAAAAAAATTGCGTTCCTGCGGGAGGTCAAAATCATCAATAAAAAAATTTTCT